TATATATATATATATATATAATCACATCTTTACTTACTTGCTTACTCTCTGTTAAGTAGTTAAACACATGTCGTGTGGTACACCGCCTTCTGTCATGTCTATCATATCTTTCGTGACATTTGGTATATATATATATATATATATATATATATATATATATATTATATATATATATATATACCAAATGTCACGAAAGATATGATAGACATGACAGAATAAGGCGGTGTACCACACGACATGTGTTTAACTACTTAACAGAGAGTAAAGCAAGTAAAGATTGATCATCGTCCAGCGTGCAACTCACCCCGACAGCACCCAGTGCCGTCATTTAGTTCCAACGGCGACGGACCGGACTCGTCAGCTGATGCACCATGCGTTTTCGTAGCCATTTGTGCCGCAGCTGGGACAGGCGACACGCTGCTTCTGCGGCTGTTTTCAGTGTGACGCGGCGACGAGTGCCGGCGGTACCCTTATATTGGGAAGTGCTGATTCCCGGCGTGCTGTGAGGGGCGATTTGGGCCTTCTAAGGACCAAATTTGGATTCGTGAATAAGCTCGTTGAAGATGTTTTCCATGAGACACATGGGCCTGCGAGCATTGCGGGTAAAATACTGGGGCAGGGTGCTTTTATTGTATTATGTAATTCTGCTGCCCCAGCCTGACACAGATTACTAAAAGTGTGCTTTTTGGATGTAATATAAGTGGTGACTTCTGGAAAATTATGTCTGATGATGCTATCACTGCGATTGTACACTGCCACTCCATATCGCCTAGCTTAAATACTGGAAGCTGTGGTTGATGTTGTATTGTGCTTCTGTGAGCATGAGTGATGTGTGTGCCATGCAGAGAAGAAACTTAATTTCCTGACATCACATAAGGCCAAACCATCACAAATATACAGATCCACCAGCCCACAGCTGTGAGATGCCAATGAACATCCCAGCAAATTTCCTCTGCCTGCCAGCCAGCCACCATTAAGACAAAGTTCATCACATTTGCTTATTCATGTATGTACACGTGCCTGGAGTTTCATCAAACCTGGACCTTAATGTAACAAGCATCACACTGATGGTCAGGATGATCAAGCAGATAGATTTTGCCATTGTGGTCAGAACCCCCAAGATAGTTTAAGTCTAATGCAATGGGGTCAAGTTAGGTAATGTCCACACATCACTCACTTGATTGGTTAGAATTAATATCATCCACTGTAGCCTTTTGAAAACAAGCTGCCCATAGCCTTAAAACTCTGTATGGTACCTGAAAAAGTCTTCTCTAGCAAACATTGCAGATATTTTTCCATATACTGGTATTTGCAAAGTTTGGTAATGCTACATGACATCTAGGTTCTACTCAGATGCATCCAAAATGCACCAGAACAGGAATTACTTTTAAAATGCCTCAGTTGTTTTTGAGTTGGCCCATGAAATGGTGTTCATATCCTGCAGACAGCATAAAAGATGAAGAGCCAATGTTATTATTGTCATTGAGCTGTCTTAAGCTGCTAACAAACAATAAGGTTTTTAGCAATACAGTTTTTACCATGACTTGGTTTGTTATGCATTCTGGCACAATGATCAAGTTTTATTAGTGCCATCATTTTATACTGTGCAGTGTCAGTTACTCCTGCTTATCAGTTATTTCCACCCACCCATCATGGCTGCGCTCATCACATTCTGTGACTCCACCACCACCATGGCTGACTGTGGCTGCGCTGTGTTCGCCAGCGCGGTGCGTCGCTGCTGAAGCCGGGTGAACTGTCGCTGGCGCTGGACTCGCCGGCCGGCCAGGCGCGCATCAGCCAGGTCCGGCTGCGCCACTCCACGCCGATGAACACCGTCATCATGTTCGTGCCACAGCAGGAGGTGGGTGCCGCGGCAGCCGCGGCCTGCCGTCGGGCGCGCGCCGAGGCCTGGGGTGGGGCCATGGTGTGTGTGTGGGGGGGGGGGGGGGGCGGAGGGGAGGGAGGCAGTGGTAGTCAGCAGGCGAAATCGGCTTTCTGGTACTTGATGAGGTAGTATATCTTAATTTTAGTGGGCGAACATCGGGTCGGGCTAGAAACTTGTTTATGGCTGTCATAACAAGAGTTGAAGTTGCAAACGCCTTGATTCAAGGTCTGAATCGCTTCCATTGATGCACAATCAAGCCCAAGCATGGAGCTGTGTTGGCAATACTAGTGTAACGAGCACTCCTCACGGCCGATGAATTTGGCTAGCATCAACCTGGCTGGCCAAACCGGACCTGCGGACCAGCATAGTCCATAATCGAAATGGAGCTCCATGTCAACGCTGCTGTTGTTTTCGAACAGGGCGGACATCAAAGAACATCAAAGCCGTTGTGGTTTTCAAACACTGCAGCCCCATGGCCAGTGCTGGTTACATAGGAAAGTCGCTGCCAGTCCGTACTTATCAATTGAAACACGTAACACCGTCGAAATGTTTGTGGCACTTTGTACGCTTGCTCATCTACCGGCGCGGTGCTCCGGTCATGGATCGCCTCCTGCTCAGCTCCATCGGACCCGCGCTCACGCCGCTGGATGTCGTCCGTGAGAGCACTGTATCGGTATCTGTATCTGCACTGTATCTTGAACAATACGTCAGGATTCACGCCCTGAGGGGACCGTGCGCCTCCTGCACTGTGCCGACTGTGATCTGGCGGTGTTCAGTGCCCTGTGTGCTGCGTCGTGTGTGCTGTGTCGTGTGTGCTGTGCCGTGTGTGCTGTGTCGTGTGTGCTGTTCCGGTGTGCTGTGTCGTGTGTGCTGTGCCGTGTGTGCTGCGTCGTGGTGCTGTGCCGTGTTGCTGCGTCGTGTTGCTGTGTCGTGTGCGGCTGCGTCGTGTGTGCTGCGTCGTGTGTGCTGTGCCGTGTGTGCTGCGTCGTGTGTGCTGTGCCGTGTGTGCTGCGTCGTGTGTGCTGTGCCGTGTGTGCTGCTCGTGTGTGCTGTGCCGTGTGTGCTGCGTCGTGTGTGCTGCGTCGTGTGTGCTGCCGTGTGTGCTGCGTCGTGTGGCTGTGCCGTGTGTGCTGCGTCGTGTGTGCTGTGCCGTGTGTGCTGCGTCGTGTGTGCTGCGTCGTGTGTGCTGTGCCGTGTGTGCTGCGTCGTGTGTGCTGTGCCGTGTGTGCTGTGCCGTGTTTGCTGTGCCGTGTGTGCTGTGCCATATGGGCTGTGTTGTGTGCGCTGTGCCGTGTGTTCTGTGCCGTGTGTTCTATGCTGGGCGTGCTGCGCGCTGTGCTGTGCCTTGCGCGCTACGTCATGTGGGCTGCCATGTGTGCTGTACCGTGTGTGCTGTGCCATGTATGTGTGCCATGCGTTCTGTGCCATATGGCTGTGCCGTTTGTTGTGCCATATGGACTGAGCCGTGCGTGCTGTGCCGTGTGTGCCGTGTAACTGTGCCGTGTATGCTGCCGGATGTGGTTTGCGTGACCTGTTGGCTGGCAAGGTTGGTCTACGCGCTGTGCCGGCAGATCTTCTGCGATGTCAGGCTTGAACCACACTCTGGCCGGGTCCATGGCAGATAGAGCGTCGTGTCATGTTTTGAACTGCCCTGCACAGTGTACCGTACCGCTTGTACCGTACCAGTCGTACTCCAGCCGTGTACACCACCAACTGTGTGACGCTGCACGGTGAGATGCGGTGCTATGCTATGCTATGGTTCGTCGCGTGCCCTGTACCTGAGGGTGTAAGGACGCCGCACGAACTCCGTGTCCTCTGAACCTCGCCCGTCGCCGCGAGGCGTGCCCCGCGCCGGCTGCTCCGTGACCGTGCTCCGCGCCGCTCCTCCACTCCCCTCGCCGCGGCGCAGGCCTGGATAGTGGAGCGCATGGGCAAGTTCAGCAAGGTGCTGGAGCCGGGCATGGCCATGCTAGCGCCGCTCGTGGACCGCGTCAAGTACGTGCACAATCTGCGCGAGATGCCGATCGAGCTGTGCAACATCCCGGGTGTCACCGAAGGTAGGCGCCCGCCGCCGCCGCCGGCTGCCTGCTGCGGCGTCCCCCGCGGCCGGCGGCTCGCCGTGCGAGGCGAGAGACTGAGGGTGTGGGGTACGTGTGCTGACAGCGGTCTCTGCAGGCCGGCGGCTCGCCTTGCGAGACGAAGAGACTGAGGGTGTGGGGTGCGTGTGCTGACAGGGGTCTCTGCAGGCCGGCGGCTCGCCGTGCGAGGCGAGAGACTGAGGGTGTGGGGTGCGTATGCTGACAGGGTCTCCGCAGGCTGGAGACGGCGCTGCGGGCTGCTGGCGTGTCGTCGGTTTTTCGTTGTGTGCGTGTGGACGGTGTGGGTGGGCGCGGGCTCGGTGCGCGTGTCGGGCGGTGGAGGCGGGCGGGTGGCGCTCCAGGTGATGCAGCGGCGGGACGTGGCCGCCCCGACAGCATGCGCCCGGCGTCGCTCGCGGCGGAGCCTGCACCGGTACAGAGCCATGCCCGACGGGGCCACACGCCGCTCGCATGCCACAGGGAGTCGGGTCGCTGCCGCCGCCCGTGTCCGCCGGACCGATCCGGTCAGGTCGACGCCGGTCTTCACCCGCGCCGCCTGGGCACTGGAGCTGTGGCGAGAGCTCCGGGCGTCGGCGGGCGGCGGCGGCGGCGGGGCACGGCAGCCGCTCTGACCCTGCGGTCGTGCCGCGCCCGCCCGCAGGCCTGGGTGGTGGAGCGCATGGGGAAGTACTTCGCGCGTGATGGAGCCCGGCCTGAACCTGCTGGTTGCCGGTGGTGGACCGCGTCAAGTACGTGCAGAACATGAAGGAGCAGGCTATTGATATACCGCAGCAGTCTGCGATCACGTCAGGTGAGAGACGGCCGCCAGGTCCTCCAGTGGCTGCCGTCTGCTGCCTCCCGGAAAGCCGCTCAGCGGCGGCGGAACAGTGCTGCCACCTGCATGGTACTTGTGCTGCCACCAGGGGCGGT